ATAAATTAATTTAAGTTTAATAATGAAATAATTTATTTTTTGTTTAATAACATAACATTTTATAAAGATAATAATTAAGTATTCTGTTAAAACTCAATGATTATCATAATTATATTTTAGTTTTTTTATACTTAAAATGAGATGTTTATCATGTATTTGATTATGTTTATCTGCAGTTAGTTACACGAATTCAGTTATGGAGCTTTAATAAGTTGTATTTACGCACAATCTACTTGTAATCTTGAGTTTTAAGTAATATGCATTAATAAACAATATTTTACACATAAAAAATGGTTTTTAAAAGTTTTTGTCAAATATTTTATAATATAGTATAGATAAAAGCTTATGTTTTATTAACTTTTTATATTCGATAAACTTGTAAAGATACATATTTTTATCTAAATGGAAAGTAAAGGGGATAAAATTTTGTCCATATCTCGTATCAATATATGATTGAGAGTTGAAATCCTAATCTTTCTAGGATTATTTTGTTATATGGCGCAATGTCAGTAGTTATATTTTGTTTCGGTGGTGTCTGATTGGTTTGAGCTTGGCTCCAAAGGTCAAAAATACAAGGAGGTCTCATATTCAAATCCAATGAGGAATAAAAATCCTCTTGTGGCCACGAAAGTTCAAATGTGGTGACTCCGGGCTATCTACAAAGCAATTGGTCTCCCTGAAATTAGTCGGCTCGTATAACGGGTTGGATATCCAAGTTAATTAGGTTAATTAAAAAAATGTAGTGGTGTATAAACGTTGAAAAAGTAGTAATTGATGATATTACAAGGATATTCTCTTATACGTCGGTAATGTATTTAATGAGTGGCTTTGCAATAAGTTATAGTAAAGACGTATTCAAAACACTTGTATAGGATAATGATAACTTTGATTATCTAAAAGTCACAATTTCTTTTAAATCCAAACTATTATACTTGAGAATCAAACAAATTTCAATTGTATCAACATTTGTAGAACTGTAAATGAACAGAACGTTCAGCGATTCGTTCGACAGGAAGTTCGTTTATTTAATAAATGAACGAACATAAATAAATAAAAAATTGTTCATTCAGTTAAACGAACGAACATGAACAAGAGTCTCGTTCATTCATTTATGTTCGTGAACGTTCGTTTATATATTAAATTAATATATAATCTTTTATTTATTTAGTTTGAATTCAAATAATATTTATTTAAGTTTTAACTTTTTACAATTTATTTATATTTTAATTTTATCATCATTTTGTCTTATTTGAAATTTTTATTTTTTCACTTTTCCTTCAAAATCCTAGCCTCGAGATGAAACCTTCTACAAATCGTGAAGGGTTGAAGAAGACTGTGAGCGTGAACCCTAAATCGCTTCATTTCTTCACCTGTGTTCTTCCGAACAAGTACGGTTCCTTTTGTTTTGTTCTTTTCTGGGTTCGATCTGCTCGTTTTCCTCGTCCCCCATTAACTGGTTTCCTGGTTTCCTTTAACAAGGTCATAAAAAGTATATACGCTTTATACACATTCAGTCTTTCTGGTTTCTGTTTTATAAATTGCTTTATTTTTTTGGTGGGTATTACTTCTAATTTCATTTTGATAAGGAAGACTCGATGGAGAACAATCTTCTCATCTGACCCTTGTATTATAGTATTTGTCAGCATCAAATTTGTAGTAAATGCCCAAATTTTTTGTTGGAGGCGATCTGAACTAAAGAAAAATCATTGATCATATATAATAAGAATTAGTAGCTCATGAGAAAAAATAAGATAACTGAAAGGACTTTATTCATCTTAAAAATAAGCAAATTTGTTGTTTCCACATCATCCTTTCAAAAGGCTCTTGCCAGACTAGGTATAACTTGACAACAGTAATTACAAATTCTAATAAAATCTTTTTTTTTTGTAACTCTAATCATAGTGTAGGGCAACGACTCTAGCACTCTTCTTTCAAGGTCCATGTATCACTATTGTGCCGTCACCAACTAAATAGAGTATCCAATTCTGTTTCAAATGCTCTTAAATAACACAGCATTGTTGGTTGTTGATAATCATGTATGTAAGTTGCACCATACAGCAACAACTTTTTTCGGTTTTTTTAGTTGGTATCGTCGTCATTATGGACGACATAGAAAGAAAACCAAGGCAATTTGCTTAATCTTATCAATTATAATACTTGTTCTCTTACAATAACTAATAATTATTTCGTTTGTTTGTTGTAGGAAACTGATAATATGATATATATTGAACTTCCATGAGGTGACAAATGATGATGGTGGATTGTTTCTTTTTGTTCAAATGATGATAGTGATTTGTTTTTTTTTTTTKTTTGTTCAAATGATGATGGTTGATGAATGGTAATTGTTTTGTATATGTTTAAACCATAGATAATTGGTGTCTAATAGTTAATTGAATGACAAGTAGTGGTGTTCGTTTGTTTATGTTTATTTATGTTCGTTTGGCCCGTTCATTTATGTTCGTTTGTTTAACATGTTAACGAACGAACATAAACACACTTGATTTCTAAACGAACGAACACGAACACAAAGATTTGCGTTCGTTTATTGTTCTGTTTGTTCGTTTGTTTGTTTAAGTTAACCGAACGAACATGAACAAGCATCTGTTCGTGTTCTTCCGGTTTGTTTACGGTCCTAAACATTTGTATCTAAGTAGATTCGTTAACGAATATGATATTTAGTATAAAAAATTTAATCAATATACCCAATTATTGTATTTATGGACCGATTGAGAAAATCATAATATATGTTACTCTTCATAAAATTGTTTAAAAATATATCCAAAAAATTGAAACTAATAAATCCATTTAAATATTATAGTTGGATTATGGTATATTATGATCAACTTTAACGAACAAAATCGAGCCTTGAACAAGTCTTTACAAGGGCTTAAAGTCCACTGTTTATAATAAGTTCCTCGAATCAGATATATTTCAGTTTTTTATCTAAAAACTTTAGTTGATCAGCTATTATGATTCTAACCATCTTTAACTGGGTTTGATCTGATTTTAAAGAAATAATCTTTACAAATTACAATAGACACATATTATGCTGTCTCCTTAGACACTTATTTGTTTCAATAATATATTAATATGCTTTTCTATATATTCGTTTTATTTATAAGATAAATAAATTTAATATTAGTTATAATAAATATATAAATAAATCCAGTTTGGTTACGTTATTATTTAAAAGCATTGAGTTGGAATGCATTCGTAGTATATAAATAACGCCACAATTAATTATTTAAAACATAAAATAGAACTATAAATTGAAAATAATTCATAACTTTATATTAACTAATTAAAGGTTTACAGGGCTCTAAGTGCAGTGACTACACAAAACACAAATATATATATATATATATATATATATATATATATATATATATGACTTCTTATCATATAATTATCTCGTCTTAGAATTATAATACATTAAAAAACGAATTAAATTAGAATGAAACCAACTGTACGTTCATTGATATTTTGAAAAAAAATGTTAACAATCTCAATTTTAAGATTCTGTGACGGAATCAGGATTTTTACCGAATAAGTACACATTTAAGGTGGATCAAAGTTCCGCAAAGTCGTTCGCTGTATTTTTAGCTGAATTCCACCTTTTGGAAAGATTTTTTAAGTTTTTTGAAAGACTTTCGAT